ATATATATATATAGGACTTTAGATAAAAGGTTATCTAGTTGTTTCATAAAAATGAAAAGAAACCCAATGCTCGAGGCCAACTCTTATGCTAATTCCATACTCGGCAAATAAAAATACTGCCATGCTTCTATTGATCCTTTAATTAAAATTCAACTAATTTTTGCAGAGCTCCTTTTGGGTTTGTTGGGTAATACAGTAAAATATTCAATTTTGATTTTTTTGTAGATTCAACACATGCATGACGCTGGTCTTATCCAAGGAGGGTCAATTGAAAATGCTTTAGTATGCAGGTTGTTTTTTCTCTGGCTTGAAACTATTTGTGTGATTAAGATTGATCGACTGATCTTCTTTCAATTTTAAGAAAATTTTGAGTCGGCTAAAGATCAAATGTCTGATCATCATACATGTTTTATGTATTGCAATCAGCATCACAAGGGGTTTGTTTTCTTCAACTTTTTGTGAATGCTTCTATTGATAACAATTAGAAGTGGTTTAAATTTGTTAAGCGAACTATCCACTTCAATTTTTACTGGAACTTTGTTAATGTACTCGTATACTTGTAAAAAAATTCTTTTATTTGGAAATATTGCACTTTATGGAATTTAAAATTTATGTTTGGGCAACAAATGACTTTGAAGCGATATTTTTCTAATGAAATTTACTCAACTTTCATCATGATTTATTGATATCAAATTGGGTTTTCCTTGGATGCTTTGTATGAGGTTTATATATTTAGTTATTTTGCATGAGATGTTAGATGATGTGCTGCCCACATGTGTCATTACATTTAAACCGTTAAGATATTGCAGGCAATTTCTATACAAATTGCAAATCGACAACGCCATAGATTTGGTTGGTAGAGCAATAGGGATATTGTCTTTTTTAAATAAAAAAAGTTAAAATTAAGGAAATTCAAATAAGCGTTCAGTTTTCAGATTTATCATTATGACACAAATATTTTGCATTTTCAACTATTGTTAACTTTGGGATTGGTATTATCCTGGCTGTTTAAGCTTGATAGGTAGACTTGAAAACGGCTTGTATTCCCTTGATATGATATTGCGTGAACTGAAGTTCAGCCCACTCAGCTGAGGTGCCCTTAGTTTCAAGCTATTTTCTTATAACTTGGAGAACAGAATTGCGAAATTATAAATTATGTTTGTTTGTGAATACAACTTTTTGTCATTATCAGTACATTTAATTGAAGATGCTTGCATATTCTTCATAAAAATTTTGTAACGTTAGATCAGCCAGCTGGCATAATATGTAGGGCTGTCTATTGTCTGTTCATTGTTAAAGTTATTAAGCTAAAATTTTATTTGTATTAAAATTTTGTAAGATATGATTGAGTTCTCTCATTTATTGTAAATATTTAATTAAGCTTTGCAAAATCATGGTTAAATATTTTTTCGTGAGTGATGTGATCTTTTGATGACTTTCTGAAGATCTAATAATCTTTGGAGTGAAATAATTATTAATTCTAGGTTGTGCTACCAGTTAATACTTAAAACAATTTGAATAGAGCCGTAAAGAAAATAGAGAGAAGACGGAGGGGGTCAATTTCTCTTTATTAACACAAAAGAAAAAAAAGGGGGAGTTTGGACAGCTTATATTTGGCCATATAGCAATAGGTGTTTGGTGTTCGTCTTTCCCATAGAGGTGAAAGAAGTCTGCAACAAACTGTATCGTTTCTTCTTTCCTTACTCTAGTTTTTGCCTCCTACAACAGGGGGTCGTGTTTTCTTGCCTTTTAGCGTCAACTATAGAAGGTGCATGCTGCCCGCTTTGCCAAGTAATGCAACTAAATGCATCTTTATAGAGTGGTAACTTAGAATCATATCTTTGTAAAATTAGAAATCCTTGATGTAACTCTTTTGAAGCTCAATGAAACTATTTGATCCCT